GCATAGAATGATCACTTCAAAAGACTTTAGCAGCACCTGGAGAATCCCCTGAGTCATGTTACCTGAGGATCTGTCCTGGAAATTTTATTTGTAAGAAAAATATGTTTGCATTGCCCATGGTATGGAAAAGGACCTTGCATGAATGAAACTGACACAGGCTTGGGCTGGGGGTAGAAACTTGAAGGGGCCAGCGGGGGAAAGGGGAAGCAGGTGGAAGTCCATTTCTCTCCTTCCTTACATTCTGAGTTAAACCATTCTGAGCTCCTGCTCAGTTTTCCCTCCACTGCTTCTTTTGGAGTGTGAGGTTTGATCAAATAACTGAACTAATAGACCACATTCCACTTGCTAAGACCACATTTTACTTGCTAAGACCATTTATACTTCCCCTCTGGACCTTCCTAGGATCTGGACCCTCCCAGAGAATTCTTCACCCAGAAAAAGTCCACCAAGACTCCTTTAAAATCTCTGACTCCCCATCCCTGGGTGCCAGTGCCATTTTAGGGCTCAGCCCATCTGGTATCCAGATGACCTAATACATTTATGATCCCTTACCACTTTGGCCTCGTGCATTCCTCTGGCGACCCTAACAGGAGGAAGAGGGAATAGTACAAAGGAAGGGGGGATTACAGAGGGGTAACCTCCCCTGCTTTTTCAATTTTCCCCCCACATCCCATCCTACATAAAATAGTCAAGTTGTGTCTAAACAAGCACATTCTAAGTTTTAACCACAGTGTAGTGTCAATGTACATAGCAGTTAATGTGTTTGGGAGCTGAATCTCCCCAAATGAGTAAGAGAACCACAATGGCTTCACTTACCCAATCTGACCATCCAATGACAACCCAACAGATTTCAAATGGACACTCTGCACATGAGCTTGCCAAGGGCATTTCAGAAGAGCAACCTTAGTCTCCACTGGAGACTGTATTGGACACCCCACCGACGGGTGGTCCAATTTTGTTTAAATAAAGTATTAGTACATGAAAGTAGTAAGTATAGTTTTTGTGAATATGCATATGTGCCGCAGAGGGAACTGTTATTTCTGAAAAGTGGGACTAGGGATTTTTTTTTTCTTTTCAATTTTTATAGAACTTTTCAAAGGATAAAGAAGTGAAGTAAACACAATAAACTTCTGGTACCTGAAACTTTTCATGGCCAATATAGTTGCATCAAGACCCCTCCTCATTTCCCACCCAAAATTATTTTGAAGCAAATGCCTTCATATATCATTTCATTACAAATGCTTTTCATTAATTTTTTGTTGTCTAGATTTTCCAAAGTTTTCTAGCATGACTATAGATCTTTTAGATTAGAAACAAACAAAAAATGCCATCAAATATAAACATGGAATCCAAGGCAAGACCAAGAGCCCATTAATGGCTAAATAGTATCTGTAAACCAATATTAATAAAAATAATAGATCATGATTATAATACTTACTGACTTGGCATTGGAGACCTCTTACTAACATTTCCTATTTCAATTATCTTTTTACTTCAATGTTTTCACAGTTTGGGAAGATGTGTAGACCTTTAAAATATTGGTAAACAACATATGAAATACAGGTGGATATTCAAAGCAAAGATACTATCTGTAAACCAATATTAATAAAAATAATAGATCATGATTATAATACTTACTGACTTGGCATTGGAGACCTCTTACTAACATTTCCTATTTCAATTATCTTTTTACTTCAATGTTTTCACAGTTTGGGAAGATGTGTAGACCTTTAAAATGTTGGTAAACAACATATGAAATACAGGTGGATATTCACAGCAAAGATACTGATTTCTTCCTCAATACCTGAATGTGCATTTTCCTTCTGCCCTCTCTGCTTTGCATTACCAGGCATGTTTGAGCATCTATTTTTAAGTCCCTTGAGTAATTCAAAAAGAATTCTAATGTTGGAGCCATGATCTAAGGTATTTATATATTTAAAACCTAATTATAGGCCCATGTTTCTCAATGGTTAGAACAGCAGCCCACACAATGGAGGGTTTCAGGCTTGACTCCCAGCCCTGGTTGGGGTGCATTCAGGAGATAACCAATTGATGTGTCTCTCTCATATCAATGTTTCTCCTCTCTCTCTCTCTCCCCTTCCTACCCTCCCTCTTTATCTCCCTCTCTTCTTCTCTCTAAAAATCAATGGGAAAAATATACTTGCATGAGGATTAACAAACAAACAAGTAAACAGCTAATGAGAATTATTTAAAATTCACTGTGTAGTTTCAAAATGTATGTTTTATTCAAAAGTGCTATTTGGGAACTGAAGAACAGCATACATTATTTTTTTAAAGGTATACTGCCAGGGCCCCTTTAAGAATCAGGTTAAATTGGAGATCTCAAGTAGAAATCCAACACTGGCTACCTGTATAGGGAAATGAAGGATGCTCTACAATAAGGAGGCTCCTAGAGAGGCCCTCCATTACGGATACATCTTTGAAGAGATGTACATGTGTTGTACTCAATCCTATTCTTCCAATTGGGCCAAGCTGTGCTAGGGGTCCAGTACAGAGTACAGCAAACTGCGTTCTTATAAGAGTGGTAAGGGAGGACTAAGAAAGATGCTAAGAATGAAAATGAACATATTCTTCCCCAAAAGTTGTCAGCTGACAGCAAAAATCTAACCTCTAAGTTTAATGCAGTCCATGCATAGCAAATCACATCCTCTTCTCCATAGATAATCAAAGCTCCCACCTGAAGAAAGGTTTGAAGATGGGGGAATGGAAATCTTGACAGGAGAAAAGGTGTGATCCTTCCCATTTAATTCATTTCCATCTAGGCTGCTTCACCACAGAACATGGCAGCTTCACAGAAAAGTCAACCTCAGGAGATGACCAAAGATGCTTCCTAACTTTATTCTGAGTGAAATTAAGTACTCACGGAAATCCTACATGCCTTTAAAATCATCTCCTCTGCCCTCCTGCTTTAGGCCTACTAAAACCATCTAAAAGCGAGGTTGCTCATATTTCTAATTAAACCAAAAGGAATCACTGATGATATACATAAATAACCCTCTCTGGGAAGACATGTCTTGTCATTTGTTTCCCTGATTGCGAAAATGTGTCACAGCCATGCTCCCTGCTGAACCAGACCATGAAATGAGCATCTTACTTGCAACGTTGCTTTTACATCTGGTTGCTGTCAGCCTCACAGGCTCAGCCACTGATCATCATTCCAAGGTGGATCTGATTGATCGTTACCAGGCACACACAACAGGCAGGGTCTGCCACCACCATCACACGTCAGCCAGGGACAATAGGAGAAGCACATGTCCATAGCATTACACTCATGAAGGGCATTCAGCCAGTGATCCCAGACCCGTGATATCGCAACCTGAATTCACATCACATAAAACCATTAAGAAGACCAGTCCTTACAGCTCTTATGCAAATCAGCAAAGAAGTCAGACAGTGGGCCGTGGAAACACCTGGCTTATTTTGAGCCAAACTAATTCTTAGGTGTCAAATGGACAAGAAAAAAATATATTACTTATTGAACACTCATACTACAAGAGAGCAAGAGGGCAAAATGATGTCTTAAATGAAATAACAAATCAATAAAACTCACTCCATTCTACTACAAATAAGAATCTCAGAGGATTGTTCCCTGATTCTGTAATAAAAAAGGTATATTGCTCTGTGCTAGCATTGCAATAATAGTTCATCTCCTATACTTGCCATTTCAGCGGAAGGCAAGGGATTCTTAACATTTAAAATGAGGTGACTCATATGATGCTTTGGTTGGCTATGTAAATAGTAGATACACTCATTTCAGTTAACACATCTCCATATTTTAACATTATTTATAACAGACACTATCAGATCCTGCTATTCCTTTGCAGATTTCATTATTCTTCAAATATAAAGTCCGATTTTTAAAAAATCTACATTCAAAGAGCATTACAATCATAAAATTTCTAGGATATCCTAACAAACATACATAAAAGTAAAACATTCAGAATAATATGTATGACAGCCTGCACACACTAATTTTTTTTAATGAACTACTATCTTGGGCTAAAAAAAAAAAAATCACAACCCAAAGTTTATCTTTTCTAGGTCCAAGTACGTACAGACTGTTAGAGGCAAGTTTTACTATGAAGATCAATGCTTTGAGGGTGGGCATTGGGTAGCCTTTCCCCAAGAATACATGGGTCCCCTGACAGGAATTTTAATGTTCTAATCCTGGATGACCCCACACATCACATGAGGTACAGTGACAGGCCATCCACCCTGATAACCAACACCAGAAAAAATGACGCTGCCTACATTCGCACATGCTGTTATTTCTCTCCTCTGTGAAAAACTGCATTTCTCTTTATTCAGTATCCTCAAAAACCACACCCATTTCTATTGTATGCCAGCAATTTGCTAATACAAAAACTTATCATGTATGTATTTGGTAAAGTTCTTAGGTACTAAGAGCTTTACAAATACTAACTCAACTCATCTTCATAAAAGGTAGACAATGTTATTATCCCCATTTTACAGATAAGGAAATTGAGACATAGAGCCTAGTATTTTCCCAAGTCACATGTCTATTAAGTGGCAAAGCTGAGATTAGAACCCAGGAATCTGAGTCCTCAAAATATAAATCTAAGGCTTTCTACTAATCATGCATAATATTGATGAAGTGAATCTATTTTATACATCTTTTAAAGAAATCTTAGTTTAGATTGATAAAATGATTCTAAAATTCACTTGAAGGTTAAATATATGTAAAGAATAAAGAAATTTCAGAAAAAAAGGTAATGCCTTTCCTTAGCAGTTATTTTTTAAAAAATGAAAATTTAGTATCAAAAGATGATCCTTCAATTCAAGCAAATCAGGGAGTGATGAGAATACCCAATAAGGTGTAGGGGACAAATGGCTAGTATTCAATCTTGGAAAACAATGTAAGATGTCTGTAAGTGTTTTATATAATATAAATCTTATTTTAGTTTATTATAATACATTACCTACAATTAAAGCACAATGTTCTATGTTCTGACTTCTAGATCCTGACAAACCACAGGAAGAGAAGAATCATACATCTGAAAAAAATTATAGCACCAAAAACACAGGTAAAGTTGAGATAGTATCTGTTTTATACACTCAAAACAATTTTGAAAAGTAACCACTGATTTCACAAATTCTCTGTAGGAATTCCTAATGCTCACTCATATCCGGTTCTCCTCTCCTTGCAGGCACAGACAGTCTGGTGGGCTAAGTGACTTCTTCCAGCCAATGAGTCAGAAAAGCTAAATCATAGTGTTGTGACTGAGAACGGGACAACTCCCTGATGGCGCTGGTAAATAACAGTGGGGCTCTGTCAGCTTTGGATCACCGCGTGGCTGCGTGGAGCAGAGCACACATCATCTTGGGGTGAATTTGTAACATGAGAAACATATACTTTTGTTTCATGGAGCTACAGAGATTTCAGGGTTGGTGATTTATTCCTGCAGCATAGGAATTAGCATAAATGCTAACATGGCAAATAACACAGGAAGGGAGCTGTATGAAAGAAAGATAGGTCATTTATAAATCCATATAATTCAAAAGAACATTAGATATGGTGAGTCAGAAACATAAAATTCAAATCAGGAATTATGGGTCCAATTTGGTAGGCTTAGAATTATGGATCAAATTTGGTAGGCTTAAATACTGAAGATGACTACAACAAATAGAGTTGATGATGAATTTAAAGATGGTTATTTTCAACATATGGATGACAAGTATATTGTTGATGAAGAGACTAAGACAAAGAGAAAAATATAATAATCCACCAAATATATGCAAAATTAGAGCTAAATAATAACCTGCATAATCAGTTGAAAACACTCAGTAAATACAAGTCAAAACTAGAAAAATAAAAACACAGAATGATGGAGCTGAATTGGACTAAAGAATCTTCTCAATAAAGATACACGCAAAGAAAAAAGAAAAAAGCATCAGGCCATAGACATTTCTCTGAAATAATACTTTATAGAAGATGAGAAATAAATAAAAAATATACCAAATATGACCTTGAAGTTCAAAATTTTAAACACTGAGTCAAATTGTATGTATAATGCAAGTTTGTCTAAAAATGAAGATATGTATAGAATTTATATGAAAGCAAGTTTAGTTTCTTTCCTTTTCCTTATTTATTTTGTCAAACGTTAAAGACTATAAAAGATAGTGAAATCTCAGGTGGCTTATAATAAATAACATGAACAAAAAAAGAGATTCTTTATGGAAAAAATAGTTGCAAAACTTAAGAGAACATAAAAAGATTGAGTGTTTGAATACGAAATCAAACATGTTTGCGTGAAAGAGCTTATGTATGTAAGACTGTCAGCTCTGTCAACATTTATGCTCAACTAAGAAAACTGAAGAAATTATCATGTATTTCTTTAGCTTTATTTAGTTTTCATGATGCTACAGAAAATATTTTTGCAACTGGCAAGGAATATCAGAGATCACCATCAGCAATAAGAAACACATGAATGAGACAAGTCTGATTGGTTTGGATTTATTGATAGACCTGATTATATTTTATTTCAGAAAGCTCTATCTGTTGCAGTAACGAGAAAATCATTCCTGTGTAAAAACTCTTATCAACAAATACTTCATTTAGTTATTAGTACTTTGCATATAGCTGACAAATAACAAAAATTACAAATGTAATAATTGCCTGGCACTTTCTTTAAATATTAGTGATGAGAATAGCAATAGTTTCCAGTACATCTAACCTTTCAGGCCTAGAGCACATGTTTGTTGTTTTAACTGTACAGAATGTTTATCTCTGCCAGAAGCCACCTTTACATTCTGTGATAGACATTTTAATCAATCAAAACCAGGTATCTTAGTAAGATACAGAAGAAATAGCAGGTAAGGCCCTCCCAAGTATTTAAAGGTAGTGAGTTAAGCCCAAAACAAAGACATATGAAAATATAAATAAAACACTGACATAATTGAAAACTCATATGGCTGTGTGGTAATATACATTTAAGTGCCAAAGTGGCAGTTAATTATTTTTAAATCACAAAAATCAGGAGGTCTTCAGGAGGTGTTGAAAAGATATATAAACACTTTTTATGTTGAAATATATTAGCAGTACTGATATAAAACTTAACGTAACACTTAAGAACAAAAGAATTGATCATGTAAAATATATCGCTTTGCCAGGCTCAAGCATGTTTATTGTCATGTCCTAGAGATCTTACTGTGTTGAAATGGTGGGTGAGCAACACTCAATTTATGGCCATCACAGTGGCTGGCACCACCAACCGGACAGTATTCCAGGTCAGACACCTACACATTAATCCTGAAAGTCCCCATTCCTAAACCACTATTCACTTAAACACAAGGCCCCACAGATCCAACCTCTTAAATTCCTCTTCAACCTGACCCTATAGCTCTGCGGCTTCCACCTGACCTTGAGCCTCCTCCATTCCTCAGTGGGATCACTGAGAACTTTTCAAATTGTTTACCTTCCCCTTCTATAATCCACTATTCACACAGAGAGTCAATCCTTGAAAACAGATTCCATGGTGGCAATTCCTTCTTCGGATGCCATTCACTGGATCCCTCTCAACCCCGAGAGCAAGTCCCAGGCCTGTGGTATAACTCACAGAGACCCCGAGGAATGGGGCTCACTGCAGCTCTCCACCACATCACTGACTGCCCAGACCCTACCTGAGCATCTCTGCTCCAAACACACTCAAATGGCGAATGCCAGGTTTCCCCCATCACACAGTGTTTTCCGTGCCTTTGTTTCTCTGGAAACTCTTTTCTACCCATTTTTACCTAATTTCTCCTCACGGTTCAAACCTCAATTATTACTTCCTCCAGATTCCTGACACCATCCTCTTATTCTTGGTCAGATGTTCCCCCCTAACCCAGCTCCCATAGCACCTGGATCATTGCACTATGACAGTACTTACCACACTACAGGGAATATGGACTGAATGTTTGTGAACCCGTCCCCCAAGTTTGTACACATATCAAAGCCCTAACCCTTAATGTGATGGTAAACACAAGGCCCCATGCTTCCACCTGACCTTGAGCCTCTTCCATTCCTTAGAGGGATCACTAAGAACTTTTCAAATCATTTGTTCACCTTACCCTTCTATAATCCACTATCCACACAGAAAGAATCACTCTAAAAACAGACGGTATATGCAGGCAGGGCCTTTGAAGGGTAATTAGTTTTAGACTAAGTCATGAGGGTGGATCACCCATGATGGGATTAGTGCCCTTATACAAAGATTGAAATATTTCTCTCCCCTCCTTCCCTCTCTCTCCATGAACCAAGAAAAGGCCATGGAGGTCATAACCAAGGAAGAGAGCATTATCCAAGAACATACGGGTAAACTGATCAGACACTTCCAGCCTCCAAAACAGAAACATTTGTTGTTTAAGCCACCCAGAATGTGGCATTTATTACAGAACCTTGAACTAAGACAAGACTGTAATCTCCTGCACTTGTCTGAATCCATAGCTGGAAAGCACCCTCCATAGGCAGAGTGCACTCGGGTTCAAAACAATATCCTTAGCACAGACATGGTTTCTGACACAACAATGTATAGTCAGCAACGAGGCTCTCAGAAAACAGCAAGCTGATGTGACATGAATGTGACACATTAATTAAAGTTTTCACAGAACCTTCATTTAGTGATAATATATAAACTTGCTCTTTGGTGTTTCTTACATATTGAAAACAGTATTATCCTAGAATAAGGTTACTAAGCATAACACTTGGGGAGTAAAGAAAAATGATAACAGAAAGGTTTTATAGAAGAGAGATAACTGCTATTTATGTAATTTCAATGAAAAAAAATAAATTCAAAATCATCGTTCCTTTTCTTAAAAAGGCATTGTAGCTTTCCAATTCCACCACATTTATCCCACTTTTGCCCATTGAGTAGTAGGCAAGGCAGATCATAAGGATAAGAAAGAATCCTATATAATAAAAGGGTAATATGCAAATCAACCAAACAGTGGAAAGACAGTCGCTATGATGTGCACTGACTACCAGGGGGCAGATGCTCAATGCAGGAGCTGCCCCCTGGTGGTCAATGCACTCAGCCAGAAGCTGGGCTCATGGCTGGCGAGCACAGCGGCAGTGGCAGGAGCCTCTCCTGCATCCGAGGCAGCGCTAAGGATTCTGACTGATGGCTTAGGTCCGCTCCCCTTTGGGGAGCCATCAGTCAGACATCTGAGGGCTCCCAGACTGTGAAAGGGCGCAGGCCGGGCTGAGGTACCCCTCTCCCCCACCAAGTGCACAAATTTTGTGCACCAGGCCTCTAGTTAATCTACATCAATCATGGTTATTCTATTTCCTCTGTTGGCAATTATTTTAGAGATGGAGCTATGATCCAAATCTGGCCAATGAGATGGGAAGCTTAAGGGAAGTTTAAGAGAGTCACAGGAAGTGACTGCTGAATATTAATGAGGAACAATCATCCCAAAGGCCAATGTAATCATTTTGTTACTGCACAAGAAGCGAGCAGGGTGATGTGTAGTAACATTCTAAGCTCTGACAGAACAATTACAGCATCTTATAAAAGGTGTAGAAGTTCTGTTCACTTTCAATAAGTTGTACATACCCCTCTTGGGAAACTATGTTCCATGAATGTTCTCACATTTCTGCACAGTCAGGACTTGCTGAGTGAAAATTAATGGAAACTGGCCAGGTTAAAGGATGATTGAATGATAACTACCTCTTCAAAGTTAAAGATAGTGAATTTTTTCAGAGAGACTTAAGGGCTTATCTCCCTCCATGATATTTGCTTACATTTTGAGGGTAATAAATATCTAGAGACTTTTCCTTCCCCTCCCTAGGCAGATTTATCTCTCCTTAGGGGTAGAAGGACAGATATACATGCTTCCCTATATAAGCTTGGAGTTCCATAATTTGGGGGTTCCCATTCTTTGAGGGCATTCCTTTATGCACAGATATATCAAGTCCAAGTCGCACTGCCCCATGGGGCCTTAGTGCTCTAAGATGCTCTGAGAGTAAATGTCTGGTCTGTGATCCAAGGTCTCATGTGTCTGTTAGTGTATATATGCACACACTACCATATTGGCTATATGCAAATACTGCACCATCTCTATATATATAAAGGCAGCTGCCATAACGACCTAACAACAGGTCGTTATGACGCCCACTGTGGCCAGCAAACCGGCCCAATCAGGGGGTAGGGCCAATGGCCAACCTCATGGCCCCTCCCCTCTGCCGGCCTGGCCCTGATCAGACTCTCCCATCCTGATTAAGAGCGGGGCCTGCTGGCCAAACACCCCTTCCTTTCCCCACCCCGAGCCAGC